ACATGCAGCCTGCTGGGTGACCTTGGGTCAGTCACAAGTTCTCGCCGAGCTGTTCTCTGAAGAGGAGTTCTCTGAAGAGCTCTCTCAGTCCCACCTACCTCCCAGGGTGTTGTCTGTTGTGCGGAGGGGAAGGGAAAGGAGTTTGTAAGCCGCTCTGAGACTCCAAGTGAAGGGTGGGGTATAAATCCAGTCTCCTCAAATCAGAAATCGCCATCCTAGCCTCTAAACCACATTGGTTCCACCTCCACTGTATTAATTTTGCCATTTATCCAATCCAATTCAAAATTCAGTCCAAAGAGTTTGCTCCCTAAGAAAGTCGCTGCCACAGGTGCCCTGTCCTGGGAGGGTTCTGGCCAGTGTTCCCTCTAAGCTGCGTTAGTGTGAGCTAGCTCACAGTTTTTTAGCCTCCGGCTCACACATTTTTGTCTTTGCTCAGGAAGGATGGCTCCAGAGCAAACTAATTTACTCAGCAGCCAAGTCGCTCGCTCGCTCACAACTTCAATGCCAGTAGCTCACAAAGCAGAATTTTTGCTCACAAGACTCCACAGCTTAGAGGGAGCCTTGGTTCTGAGTTGAAGTATGTTTGCTTTCTTTCTCCCTTCGGCCAGCCAGCAGCTCCACTTCCCCTTTCGGGCCGGGCGAGTTGGCCAGGTTAGAACCGCAAAGCTTTTTCTGAGCCGGAAAGGGTAACAGTGTCATCGGTTTAGGGGCTGCTCTCGTTGAGGGTGGGCTGGTTAGTAACAAGCGGTGGCTGTGAACGAGAGGGACCATTGGAGCCATCTTTCTTCCTCGTCCACTGCAGAGGGCCAGGAGGAAGGGAGATCCAGTCTCATTGGTAATAATTTCCCCCAAAGCTGAAAAAGCATCTGAAGGTTTGTTTGTTTGTTGCACATGCAGTTATTGTCAAGCCCATTCCTGAATCCCACTTTTGTTCTATGGAGTTCAGTGAACACGGTCGTGGAAATCACTTTCTTCTTGCATCCCAGGTCTGTGCCCCGAGGGTCCTGCTTAAAACTCATACGCATCCCAAATATACAAATTCCACTAGTAGAAAACACCATCAAAGATTGTCAAAACAATATATTAAACAATTATAAAGTTGGTGGTGTCACAACAACAACATTAATGCATACTGTAACTATAATAAGACATAAGAGACAATATCTCCTCCTTTGAAGATAAGACATAAAGTCCATGTAGTCAGTGTAACTCGATAGGAGAAGTCCACATAGTCATAACATTTTCCAGACAGCCTTTGCAAAGACGCCCATTCTAGATACTTGGAAGATGCGTTTCCTTCGACTTCTTCAGTTTGCCGACGGTGTAAGTGGAACCTGATTTCAGCAGTTCCAACAGACCACAAGGTTCATAGTGTAAGATGTGAATCATAGGTTCTCAAACTTATCTTCAAAGGAGGAAATATTGTATCATGCCTTATTATATTTAGAGTATGCATTAATGTTGTTGTTGTGACACCACCGACTTTATAATTGTTTAATATATCGTTTTGGCAATCTTTGATGGTGTTTTCTACTAGTAGAATTTGTATATTTGGGACTTCTGTGACACTGGTCTTTTCCCCTTGTTGTTTGAATTTAAAACTCATATGCGGCAGCGTTGTTCACTGCATGAACTTTTATTTGCATTATTAACTAGTAAAAGTCACGCGCTGTGTGTTTTTTTCCTCCCAGGCTGCTGCTGAGGAAATGCCAACTGACGATGAGTGTCCATCTGACGTTGATTTGAACGACCCGTACTTTGCAGAGGAGATGGGGAAGCCAGGTTAGACGTCATTCTTTCTTTCCCATCTACTGAAGGGTAATTCGGGAGAGCAGAGGTCTTTCCGCAGAGACTCCTAAGATAGCTTTGTGGTCTCTAGAAAAGGCCTGCCTTACTCATGGGTAACTGCCTGAAAGAGCAGTAGTCACTGGGGCAAAATTAAGCAAAAATGGAGGACAATACATGGTGTGATGGGCTGGGGTGCCAGTCAAAGGGAGTCCAGAACAGGCCAAGGTCAGGAGCCAAGAAAGGTGCTTGGGGGGGGGGCAACAGTGGGAGGGCTTCTAATGTCCTGGCCCCACTGGTGGACCTTCTGATGGCACTGGTATTTCTGGCCACTGTGTGACACAGAGTGTTGGACAGGATGGGCCTTTGGCCTGATCCAACATTGGCGTCTCTTATGTTCTTAAGAAGACAGTGCAAAGTCCAAAGCCAAGCTGGGGTCAGGAGCCAGGAACACAGAGCCCAGTCCAAAGCCAGGGGGTCCGAAGGTCTAGGTGCAAGAGCCGAGCCGGAGTGGATGCAAGCAGCACGAAACTAACTTGTTGCTTCCACGAAGGGTACTGCCGCCAGTGTGTAGTTAAAGGCTGCTACCAATTAGCCAGCTGCACGATCAGCAAGGCTCCTGGTAGAACTCTGGACTAGCTGAGCGTCTCCCCTGTAGCCTGGCCTCTCTTCGCCTGGTTGCGAAGTTTTGCCACAGCCGCTTCTTTAAACGAGTCACACGTGGGGGTGACTCAGGAGGGCTTTCAGCTTGCAGTTCTTCCTTCTTATCTGGGCCAAGTGTGAAGACAACTGCCAGCTATCCTCCTCTGCTGCTTCAGAGGGGCCAGATGTGGTTTCTGCAGGTTCCGTCAGCTCATCCACGCCCATGACACATGGGGGGTAATGATCTCAGCAGCAGAAAAAAAGTTTGCAGGTACAGGATAGTTAAAAAAAAAGGCAGCGTTTTTTTCCTTAAGATGGTGGAAAGGGCAACTGAATCGAAGAAGGTGTTCAAAATAAGGGCACATCCGTGTCCACTCAGACAAAACCCAGTCCTAACTTATGCTGATGGGCGTCTGAATTGGTGGTAACCCTACAAAGGAGAAGTCTCGGTGGTGATTGAAAGCGTGGTGAATGCCAGCTCGGTTTATCCCAGCCGTGAAGGAATGACGAGGAAAGAGGCCGAACGCAAAACGGCAAATGCGACAGCCGTGACATAAACCTGCTATGCGCCGGCACGGGAATTGCTCCGTGCAGTTCGGGTCATCCGTATCGGAAAGGATATTGCAAAGTTGGAGGAAGTACAGAAAGGGACAACCGATTGGGAAACAGGGCGTCACTTTGGCCTTTTCCACATTACCATTCTAACATAGATGTTATCCGTCATTGGCCCAGTTCCAAGCTAAGTAAAGCGATACAGGGACGGGGGTTTCATGCGGCGAATTTCATTCTGTTGAAGCGATCTGCCCATTTCAAACAACACCACTCCCCCCCTCTCCTTTTTTGCCGCTCAGTCTTCCGTGACCTTTTTAAAATAAATATTCTAAGTTGATAGTTACAACGCTAGACCGATATGACATTTCTCAGTGTATCTCGGTGGTGCCGCTGTAGCACTGAAGTACTATATTGGTCTGGCACTGACAAGATGTGGCGAGTCCGGGCTGTCTAGGGCAGAGGTGATTTGCCATTGATTGCCTCTGTGTAGCAACTCTGGATTTCCTTGGTGGTCTCCCGTCCAAGTACTAACTGGGCTTAGCTTCCGAGTTCTGATCAGACTGGGCTAGCCTGGGCCATCCAGGCCAGGACAGAGGTGGTTTGCCATGGCCTGCTTCTGCGTAAAAGGTAAAGGTTTCCCTTGCTCAAAAGCCAGTCGAATCCGACTCTAGGGGGCGGTGATCATTTCCGTTTCCAAGCTGAAGAGCCAGCGCTGTCCGAAGACATATCTGTGGTCATGTGGCCGGCATGACTAGACGCCGAGGTACACGGAACGCTGTAACCTTCCCACCAAAGCGGTACCTCTTTATCTACTTGCAATTTCTTGCTTTCGAACTGCTAGGTTGGTAGGAGCTGGGGCCAAAGACAGGAGCTCACTCCGTCACGCAGCACTCGGGTCTCGAACTGCTAAACTACCGACCTTCCGGTCTGCAGCTCAGGGTCTTAACCTCTGAGCCACCACGGCCCTCCTGCGTCTGCGTAGCAATCCTCAACTGCTTTGGTGGGTTCCCATTCAAGTACTAATCAGGGCCGACCTCGTTTAGCTTCCAAGATCTGATGATATTGGGCTGGTTGGGGACATCCATTATGTGTCATCGCAAAAGATACATTGACCTTTTGCAATAATTTGATTGTGCTGGATGAATAATAATAATAATAATCTTTCAATTTATTGATTGCTTAATCCTTGCAGAGCTGCTGGCTCTGAGCGATTTACAGTTACTCATTTCACAAGGGACTAACAGTGCTTTATAGGGGTAAGGGAGGACAACACATATAATCTTTACATAGCACACGTTTTGCAGCCGACGGGGATTTGTTCAGTTGTAACTCAGACATGATCCGGACGGCATTTTTCCCGCTTGGCTTGGCTGGATGACTTCAGCTCTTCCTCTCCAGGACTCTTCAGGTCGCATCTCCATACTGCCCCCGCCTGGTCGGAACGGCCCATTACAGGCTTCTTGATGCCGAAGAGATCTTCTAGGCTTTCGATCTTGCGAGCCGAACCTTCCGTTCGCCGGCTAACACCTCCCCCACAGGGAGGGTGTTTGGTGTGCCCACCCTCTCTAAGGAGTGGTACCCATTTTATCTACTCGCCGAAGCTTTCGAACTGCTGGGTGGACGGCGAGCTGGGGACAAGGCTGGTAGCTCACACCAGCGCGGGGCTAGAACTGACAGCAGTCCTGTTCAGCTCAGATGTTACTTGTAACTAGGGGATAAATCCCCTGTGCCACCGCCAATGTTCCCTCTAAGCTGTGGAGTCTTGTGAGCAAAACTTCTACTTGGTGAGCTACTGATATTAAAGCTGTGAGCGAGTGATTTGGCTGCTGCATCAATTAGTTTGCTCTGGAGCCATCCTTCCTGAGCTAAGACGAAAATGTGTGAGCTGGAGGCTAAAAAACTGTGAGCTAGCTCACACTAACTCAGCTTAGAGGGAACACTGGCCACCGCTCCCATGTGTGTGTGAATTAAAAAAAAAAACCAGTAAGAACCCCAGACTTGTATGAAAACTGCTCACAGCCCATTCCCCAAATAACAATTAGATAAAAGTTTATATGGCTGACTAAAGGGAGGTTTGCCGCTTCCTAACCCACACAATGCAAAAGAACATTGTAGAAAAATAGATCTGTGCCAAAAGAAATCCCCTTTCCCGAAGACAGTCCAGCTTCCCAGCACTCTGACATCAGGCTTGGCTTTTGCTCGCAGGCTTCGAAATAGATCTTTAGGTTTGCCCTCTTCCACTGAGCTCCCACTGGTCTCCCCGTCCAAGGGGCCGATCGCATCCGCGCCTGCTCAGCGTCAGCAGGCCTGTTTCCACAAGTGCTTCCTCAGCCATTCATGGGACCCTTAAACGGAATCGTTCCAAATGTTTCCGCTTCAGTGAAAACCTAACGTTCTGAAACCAGGAAACAAGCAAAGCCAGACTCCCAACGGGAGAGAGAGAGAGAGAGAGAGAGAGAGAGAGAGAGAGAGAGAGAGAGAGAGAGAATGGCTGACCGAAAGCCAATGGACAAAAAAGGAGACGAGCCAGTGTGCTACGGCAGTGTCTGAAAGAAGGTTCTGGAAGGACCCAGTTCAAGTCCCCTCTCTGCCCCGAAGCTTTCACCCACCCAAACCTGTTTCATAGAAGCACACTGCTAAGATAGGAACACCTATTGAATAATTATAATGGACTCAAACCCACAGAAAATATTTAAAAAACCAGAATCCGACTTAACTTCGTGGGAAAGAGCACAAATAGAATCAAGATATACTAAAGATAAATGAGTAGGGTTTTTTTGTGCAAAAATAACAGAAATGGACAAGATGATGGTATGTACGGAAGAGAAATTAATTAAGAAATTGTATGTAATAATGTTGGAAGATCATAGAATCATAGAACGTTAGAGCTGGAAGGGACCTTGCAGGTCATCTAGTCCAATCCCCTGCACTCTGCAGGAGCATAGCTGAAAGACAGCCCTACATACCTACAACATCCGCGAAAGATGGTCGTCCATCCTCTGCTTCAAAACGTCCAGCGAATGAGCATCCTCCACCTCCCGAGGCAGACTGTTCCACTGCTCAACCCCTCTTACAGTTGGGAAATTTCTCCTGATATTTAGCTGGTAATGACTCCCTTGTAACTTCCACCCATTAGATCTAGTCTTGCAATCCGGAGCAAGAGAGAATAGATCCGCTCCATCTTCTACACGACAGCCCTTCAAATACTTGAAGACTGCAATCCTGTCCCCTCTAAGCCTTCTCTTTCCCAGGCTAAACAGACCCAACTCTTTCAGCCTTTCCTCATAAAACTTGGATTCCAACCCTCTTCTGGACACGCTCGAGCTTGTGCACATCCTTCCTAAAACGGGGTGCCCAAAACTGGACACAGGACTCCAGGTGAGGCCTGACCATGGCAGAATAGTGCGGAACGACCACCTCCCTTGATCTGAACACAATGCTTCTGTTAATGCATCCTAAGATTGCATTAGCTTTCTTCGCAGCCACATCGCACTGCAGGCTCATGTTTAGCTTGTGATCAACCAGAGCACCCAGATCCCTTTCGCATGTGCTGCTGTCAAGCCAAGTCCCTCCCATTCTATATCTGTGCCTTTGATTTTTTGTACCTAAGTGTAGGACTTTGCACTTATCTCTATTGAAATTCATTTGAAAGATGAAACACAAGACGAAGTAGTGAAAGACTCTATGGTTAAATGGGCACAAAATTTAGGTTATAATATTGATGTAGATCAGTGGTCACAGGCAGGGCTCTTTTTGTAGCAGGAACTCCTTTGCATATTAAGCGACACACCCCTAATGTAGCC